GAGAAAAAACGAAGGCTAACTCTGACTTGTAATTATTACCCATGATCCCCTGCTTCCTGGTCCAGAAGAGCTGCTGCTGTAACAAACCCACCAAACTCTGTTGATAATTCTTCATATTAACAGTTTATTGTAATAAACCCTGGTTTCTAATATCTTCTCAATGTTTTGAACTGGTCTGCAGTTCAGCTTTACTCTTGAACCTGTTGCAAGTGATTCTTTCTCACAGGAAATCGTACCTCCTCACTTTACAAAGAAACAACAGGCATTCAGGATAACATGAGAAATGAGAGAGGCTCCATTTACTTCAAACTAATTTTGAAGCCGCTATTAAAAAGTTAAAAAGAAGCATAATGTTGCTTTAAATTGACATAATCATTTACTCTCACCACTATCTAACCTGCATGTAGTATGGAATTGGGACACTGCTCCAGTTAAGTTGAATTATTGATCGCTTTGTGTTGGATACATCCAAAAAGCAATAAAGTGTGTGTGTGCCATGCACAGTAGCATCTGCCCAAGTGTCTGTTCACCAGATTGAAGGATTCAATCCACTAATATTTAAGTAAAAAACTCAAACTATGGGTCATTTGATCCATTTCATTCCCACTGGTATGAGAGAGGAGAAACTGAAGACAGAGACTATGACAACACAGGCAAAGAACAAGTGACAGCTGTCTGAACTGGAGATTAAAAATACTGTAGTTTGCCATTTTCTTCATCTTTCAACAATCATGAACATGAGCTCTGTCCTTCTCAGAATTAAGAATCAGAAAATAAACTACGAGCCCATAAAACACAAGATATGCAAAACCACCTTCCTCCACTACGGTCCACTGTCAAATGTGAATTTAGAGAAGAAATACTGACTTTAATCATGTATCTGTATGTAAACTAAAGCTACTCTGTCAAAATGTGTTATGAAACACGTTTAAACCAAATGATCAACAGGTGAAATGTGAACCTCATGCAAAAGTGACAAAGCTCAGGCCATTCAAAAAACTATGTGTAACTGGAAATAAACAAGAGAAAGAGATTAGCCACAAAGTTCTGAGTCCGGGAAGTGGCGTAAGTAGGTTTTAGCTGAATCATCAAAATAAATGACTTTTCACTCTGGGCTCCATTAGCTGGATGTTGAACCACAGGCAAAAACAGGGATTTCAGGTCACTGGCTCTATACAGCTTCGTCTGCAGACTTGACACTCTCACACAAGAACTATAAATAAATACATCTTCACTATACTGCACTGCAATGTACCTGATTTCAAGTATGTTAGGTTTCTGTGGCGTAGAAACCACTGAGTTTACTTAAAAATGTAACAGAAAATAATACATCTTCATGATATAATTTGTTTTCCACTTTCACACACACACAAACACATACATATACATATAGATATACATATAGATATATATATATATCTATATGTATATATATATAGATATATACACACACACAATATATTCGGGAACCTTGTATACAGTCATAGTTATTGCATTGTTTTTGCATATCTTGTGGGATGCAGGATTACACCCACTCACACCATTATACTGCAACACAACACTTCAAAGTTCATGCTATAACTTATTTAGAACAAAAAAACTGCAGTATTGCTCCACTCCGCACGGGGGCACCACAGGCCTCTGAATCTCTCTCATCCGCATTTGTAACCAAAGAGCTTTTGAATACATAAAATATAAAGTATAGATTAAAATTTATTAGGAACATAAACGTGAAAGGTTAGAGCTGAATTTAGTTTCTGAGTGCATGTATGCATCATTCATGTTCATGTGACACTGAACAAAATGAGTGTTTTTGTGATTGCCCATAATTTCATCTGAAGGCTATGATGATAAATAAAATATCTGTCATCCAACCTTGTGGAAACCTTCCCATACAAAGTTTATGTCGGCCAAATCTAAGAGTGACTGTTGTAGACAATTTCTCGATCTGCTGTCATTCATCACATGGTTTCTTTAGCAGATCTGCTCTGACAGTAACATTCATGGCTGCTGTTATACTGGATGATAAAATGGTCGATAAGGAGCAGAAACACTTTACGGGCCCACAGTAGCAGCTTGGATACAAACTTTAATGTGACACTATCAATGTCAAACTCCTTTAAAATGCAGGTGCCTGCTGGTAACATTTATCAGTGAGGATTTAGACCTAATATCATTTAGGTGTATCAAGTAAATCAGCATAAATAACCTGGAGGAGGAACCCCTGCTATGTTTAAAGTCAGAGTTAAAGTAATTTAACTGATCCAACAAAGTGTGGAAACAAAAACCAAAGCACAAATTGAGATTGTGCGGCTTAAAAGCTGAAGCAAGATCCTGCCGTGCACACAAATCAACACTTGACTATACTCAAACCTGCCGTGCTAGATTTAAGAATAAAAGTTTGATTAAAAAAAATAAACAGCTTATACTCAAACTGATGCGAGTCACAGGCCACAAAGTAACCTGATAGTTTATGATACCAAATTGTTTCAAGAAAGAACAGAGTCTATTTTAATGAGGCTGAAGGAAGAAAGGCTTAAGATACTGTTGTGAAGATAGTGTTGGAAAAAAATAACAACAGACTAAATGCCAGGGAAGGTATTCCTTTGACGACACAGACCCTTTTTAGGGTTTGCAGTCTGATCGTAACCACGTTAGTACTGCCACTGAGACAACATTCAAAATTCACATTTAGTTTGCATAATAATGTCAGGGGTCTGTTACTGGCACAGGATGCAGTGTATGGCTGTGTGTTCATGCAAACCTTCCCTAACACAAACCTGCTCTGCTTAACGTGGAGGAATGAGAGCTCAGCAGTGAGACCTTAATGAAAAACTGAAGTGACAACACGTGATGATGTATCTGGGTTTGGATTTGCTGTATTTTAAAATAGGATTTTTTTAGAGAAAATGTATTGAATAGATTCTTAAATGGTCCAAGACTTTGGCAACATGCATTTATTTAAAAAAATCTAAACCCTTACATAAGATTGACTTTCTTACACCGTCTATTTCTGCTTTTTCACCTAGTTATATTTATATATATATATGTATGTATCTGCACACGTATCTGCACTGGTCCGGTAAGATACCACTTTTTAATACTATCTTTGTGTCTTGTTGACTTTGCATCAAGATTGTGGGGGTTTTCCAGATTTTCTAGCATATGCATACTGATAATAAATGTGACGGTGCTGTGATGCTGACGTCAGGAATGTTTTTAATAGATATAATACCAGAGGGAGACCTGTTCCCTGTGTAATGCACTGAAGCCCGACTACCATAATTATCTATGGAATACTGTAGCTGTTAAGCTAAATCCAAACTATAATCAAGGGACAGGCTATAATAGAGAAAGGTCAGCCAACAAATGTCAGCATGCTACCGAGAAGGCAATGGAAAAAAACTAAAAACACCAGGAAATCTTTCACGCCGCGACTTTCCTCTGATTGATATCCACCAATTAATCCCATCAACCAAACAATTATCAATGATCTGCAAATCTCCTGTTTGTATTATCATTTCCCAGTAATTAGTTTTACCAGTAAACTGCACAACAGACAGAAAATCAACAACGCTAATAAGTCATAATGTTTTATGATGCGAACACACCTCAGACAAAGAGGTGTGACTTAGAAGTCTTGCAGCATCTGTACACCAGCCCTAATAATTCACTTGTAGTTTGAACTGTGATGAAATGATGAAATCGTGTGATTACTGTTCTCGGGTTATAGCAGAACCCACCCCAGTTCATTCACGAGGCTTGACTGTGGCAGTTTGAATTTGGTGCTTCTACCGTTCAGAGCGACCAATCTGTGATAAGGAAAAGCAGCAACTGCCAAAAAGGCGCACCTCCCCTGACAAGCTGCGATGCCGATCACCACTGTAAACTCCTGTCCTTGCTGGAGACCTCATACGCTGAACTAGCTCGAAACAGAAATGTAAAAAAACGTGATGCTATGAGTAATTACATTAAAAAAAGATTGAGCGGCTTCTGACTCTGCAGCTAAAAAGTAAAAAACCGTGCTAAAGAAATCACAAAGCTTTGGAAGCATGCCTGTCCATGGTGACCCTGTGTTAAGGAGGCCCATTATCACACACTTACAAACACACATGCACACAAACACATTCTCGCACACACACACACACACACACACACACACAACACCATACTTGTAATGCTACCTTAATTTAGTGTCTAGGCTTAAAATCAGCTTTTTAGAATACTTAAGTAACCACTCAAACACAGATGCACACACACAGACACACAAACGCTTATCCTCACACACATTTTTTTCTCTTCTGGGAAAAATAAATAAATAAATAGATACAATCTGTAAAAGGTGCATACGGATAGAGAGAAAGACCCCTCCTTTTAGATACACACACTATCTCACACACTCGTACACACACCCACACATCCTGTACTAAAATTCAGACACACCCACACACACACAAATATAGGTATGCACTTGCACGCAAACTCTACGCCCTGCTTCAATACTTAAAACCTCTTAAAAATTCTCCTAAAATAAACCAAGCAAAAATACATTTATAAGACCAGCACCCTGATTGTGCAAACAAATCAAGGATAAATTAAACCAATAACATCATGAATATAAAAACAAAATAGTCATGGCTAGCCAGTTTTGCACAATATTGAACTGTTAAATACATAGTGGGCGTGGTCTGTAGAGAGCGAGTGTGGCAGCAAATCCAATAGGATTCCACGCTGAGAGGAAGAGGAGGGTCTCGGAGAAGGAAGTGAAGTTGATTGACAGACAGATCCTGTGTGGACCAATGCCGCAAGTCTGTTTTCTTTTGAATTGGTCACTCCCGTTCTCTCCTCCACCATCTTTGTTTCCCTGTTGGACGCACACACACACACACACACACACACACACACACANACACACACACACACACACACACACACACACACACACACACACACCTCCCGAAGGGCTGAAAAAGCAAAAACCCAGCGATGGAGGCGGGAGGGATGGTTGAACAACCAAAGAGGAGGGAGGAAGGAGAGAGGGAAGAGTGAGGAATGGCGAGGTAAGAGGCAGAAAAGAGGGCTTGCTGTCTCTGCTTAGCCACCAAATGCTCCTCCCATTTCCTGTTTCGGACAGGAAGTGGGCACGGCCAACCGAAGGAAACGCGGCAGAGGAGACAAAGCCAGAACTTGGTGACTGACGAGGTGAGTTTGTCTCTCAATAATTGACCAGTGGAAAAAAGAGCTGGGCGTCTTCCTGTTGGCCGGAGAGTGTCTCTCTCTGCCTGTTGCACCTTTGATCAGCCCGGTTGTGGCTGTTGGTCCATCCCTCAAATCCTTCCCCCCTTTGGCTGCAGGTGGTGTGTCGCTTTAATCCCATCCCCAGGCTGGCAGGCTGTGCTCCATGGTTCCTTAGCTTTGGGAGAGGAGGAGAAATGACATTTCAAACAGGGGTTTCCTTGCCCCTGTTTTACTTAATACAGCGCTTCATCATCAGTGAACTAAGAAAGAGGAGTTGACCTTTGACCTCAAGTGGGTGCAGTCAGATTTGAATCCTTAACTGACCCCCCCCAGCTGGCCTGCTGTCCCCCACCAGGCTTCATGGCGGCCAGGCAAACAACAATAACACAACATCAAAGTAGGCATAGGAAATGAAATCCATAAACCTGCGATATCGACTGCAGGAAATCTTTAAAACTTCCTGCCTCTGTTGTTTCCTTCATCCAACTTTCCTTCGTCTTCTTTGCTCATCTCTACTTCCCTGCTCATCGCTCTTGAGGACATGATAAAACTGTGAGGCACTTTAGAGACACACTCAAACATGTGCGGTGAGTACACACACACACACGTACAAATAGAGAAAATCATAGACCACACACACAAGCATACAGTCAGATAGTATAGAGTATAGTGTGGTAAACTTTACTACAAACATTCACGCACATACAAACTCATATAAACCAACAAAGTCGTAACCAGGTGTTTAAGGTTGCGTCACTGGCGGCCATTGTCCAGAGCAGTCATGTCTGGCAGAGAGGCAGACAGTGTGTGTGGGTGTGTGAGGGGTGGGGACAGACAGAGCCAGCCACGGCGCTGTTACCCAGCACTGACAAGCGTCAGTCTCTGATGATGTCAGAGGGGCCAGTTGGCTGATTGAATCCGACGAGCTGACTCCTACAAACTCGTCACACACTCCATATCCTCGTCCTCCAACAGCCCGCTGTTCCTCTGCCGCGTACCTGCAATTACAACTGAGCCTCTGTGGTGCCCCTCCTCCCTCTCTTCTGCCTCTTGCTCCTCCTCCTCCTCTTCCTCCTCCTCCTCCTCCTCCTGTCCTCTCCCCTCTGCTAGCAGCTCCTGCCGTTCCTCCATAGAGGACGGCTCATGGACGGAGCTTCTGCTTCCTCCTGCCTCTCCCCCGCCCTCGCTGGGACTCAAGCTGCCCACTCGGTCCCTGTGCGTTGATGCTGCTGCTGTTTGGAAGGGGAGGAGGTTGCCATTGGGGCTGTTCTGGGAGTTAGAGGAGGTGCTGGACGTGACGTTCGTAGTGGTGGTAGTGGTGGTGGTGTTGTTGCTGTTGAGAATGTTGTTGGCGGCGTGCTCCATCTCCTCGATGGTCATGTCACAGGCATCAGCCAACTCGGCTTTGGTTGCCTCGATGAATGACGGGTCCTGAGCGAAATGACCCAAACCCTCTGATATTAGCACCTTGAGGAAGAAATGTGAAAAACAGAGGTGGAAAAGGAAGGGGTGGGAAATGGGAGAAATCGAGGGAGAGAGAAAAGTTTTAACGAAGCCGGAGAAAATGAGAAAGTGTAAAAGTACTGTATGTTTTTAATTCGAAAGTAACCTTCTCCGTCCTGCACACACATACACACACACTCACCGCCTCCACCAGACTGCCTGCGCTGCCATGAGACAGTGAGCAGGAGTCTTTTCCCAGTAGCGAGGGCACTGTGAGCGACACCGGCCGTGGTGCTCTTTGATTGGAAACTGACCCGCTGGGGGTGGGACTGGGACTAGGCCCTCGGCTGTTCCCATTACTGTCGCTGTACCTGGGGGCAACAGATTTTTTTAGTAAAAACATCATTGTGTTTATTGTATTGTTCACTTGTCACAGTTATCTTTTAAAGTGCTTAGTCGTACCAGGGCCCACAATTGACAGAGGGTAAGCTGGTATTGAGCTTTTCATGGGAGTTTGAGCCCTCTAGCCTCAGAGAGGGCACTCGCTGGTAGGAGGCATCACTGCCATGGGCTAGAAAAACAAAGATAAGAGACACAACATTAAAAGAACAAACCTTTTGCAATGCAATGACAAAGCTGCAGCATGACAAGAAAAAACGTGACTTCAATAATTTACAATTCTGGATTCAATGAATGATTATTTTCTCATTCAGTAAAGTATGCGTGTCCTTGCTTTGGAAATAAAATGCAACATTTTTGCCAGCACTGGAAAAACAGATGTTTGGCTTCCGATGTGTGACCAGGCCGCAGAATACCTGTGGGACTGGCTGGAGGCGTGGAGCACAGCCGGCTGAAGAGGGTGGGTGAGTGACTCCTTCTTAACAGAGGACTCAACCCTGCCACTGCCAGCGCCTGGAGGAGGAGGAGGAGGAGTAGGACAGAGCGTGCTGTATTTACAACCTGTTCATGTGCATCTAATTGTGTTTTCGACTTTATTATGTGGGGTGTATTCTACCTGATGATGTACGAGGTGTAAGGGCACAGCTGTCTTCTGGGAGACGTCTGGCCTTGACTGTCTCCTGAGACACTCCAGATGGAAGGACGATCTCCGCCCTGTCACCCACACCACAAATATGCAAATACACAGCATGACATTTTTAAATAATGGCACTCTATTCACTTTTTATGAAGGATTGTTACCTATGTATGTGTGTCTACTTACCCAGTGAAGTGGGACAGAGGAAGACTCTCCTGGGAGACTGCCACCCTCCTCCTCCTCTTCTGTCCTCTACCTCCTCTCCTTCCTCCATGGGAGTCAACTGCTTACATGTTTCATCATGATACACAAGCCTGATGTGGGCACACACATTCACAAAGAGGAGTTAATGGTAGAAATGTGTAGATTTGGACATGCATGTGATAAAACATTTTTGGGTGTTGGTGAATAGTACATGTCAGAAGAGAGCGAGTGGTCATCCTCGTGGTACTCCATGTCGTCAACATAGCTCTCATCATACGTCTCCTCCGTCGAATCCTCCCCTCTCCGTATGATTGGCAGATGGCTGTCACTTGAGTCCGAGCTGCAAACGACCAAGCACACGACCAAAAAAAGCAAACAAACACACAAAATGAACACAAACACAGAAAACGGGTAGACAAATAGGCAGACGTATGTGAACATACACACAGAAAAAAAGAAGCAGCTGATTAGCAAAAAAAAAAACAAACTCAGGAGCTTACAAGGAGAGACTGAAACTGAGGCTTAAGTACTGCATGTAGGAAAAGGAAAGAGGATGAAGGAGAAAAAAAGACTAGAGGAAAAGGAGGAGAAGCAGGTGGAAATTACAACTATTTCATTAAAGCAAAATGGTAAAAAGCATCAGAGGCAAAACCTGGAATATGATAAACTGACAGCATGACTGACATCTTTCAAAAACAAAGATTAGGACAGAACAGGACAGTATATAGCTACTAATGTTATTCCCTTATATTCAGAGTGGTATTTTAGCCAACTGGGAAATTAAACAGGCAATTTTTATGCTGTTGTCCAGTAAAATCCTACAATCAGAGTCTGTCTTTTCCACTAATCTCTAATGAATTGGACAAAATGCTGACATTAGCCCAGACAAAATTTGTTTGTAGAAAGTTTGTTTTTAGTTGCTGAAATCTGAAAACTCAATCTAAATTCTGCATATAATCTGTATTCGGTTGCATCTCTTTGATTTCCAAAGATGTCATGTCATCCTCATATCTATTTCATACTCCAGACTTAAGCTTGAAGGAGACATTCTGACATTTGAATTAAAAAAAATGTTCTTCTTCACCAGATTGTTTTTTTTAAAAGCTTCCTGAATACAGCGTCACACCATAGCTTGCAGTTACCATTACTCATAATTCTTAACAATAAAAAAACAGCTAATCTTTGGTTCTTCTGTTGGTTTTCTGTTACCAGCACATACACATCTGCTAAGAACTGCCTGGTGAAGAGTAATCAAGTTTCTAAATGTCAAGATGTCCCTTTAATCCGCGGCTCTTTCAAGGCTCCACAGCAAACTCTGGGTTAGAACAGCATTTGATCAAAACACGATTCAAACTGTTCGGATGAACTTGATGAAGCACGTTCCCCTTGGCAGCTAGGTGGAGGTTGTCCTGGAGTCTTACAAAGCTAATCCAAAGAGACAGAGCATCGGAAAGCTTATACTTTGCTTTTCCTGTTGACAACTTAAATCTAGACTTACTGTTTAGTGAATAAGTTAAACTCCAAATAACCAAGCAGCCATTTAACAAGGTTCATCTTCAGTGGATCCTCATGCTTACATGCTGGCAGACCCGGCACCCCGAGTCAAGACATTTTGTGAACTATAACTAAAGTTTTAAGTTTGATACTATATATAGCCAAATCAGTAGTATGACTTTTAGGGTCAAGATTTCTAACAGATCAAACTCCAAAATCAGCATATGTAGTCAGGAAATGTCCTCTACCCATTAGATTGATTTTTTTAGACAGAGAGCTGCCATAAACATTTTCCTCATGGGCAAAACTATTGATCTCAACATACATGGGGATATAGATGTTAACTGTTATAATATATATAAACAGCTCACTACAATGTCCTCTGCGTTAACAACATTTTCATCAGTTAAACTGTGCATGTAGTGAGCTATTGTACACAAAATATTTGGCATTTTTCTCAGTATTTTATATTGTATTTAAACTCGAAATAAGTGTAAACTTTCAGATGTCTCCATATGGAAAATAAATTCTGCAGAGATGGGGACAATGAGCTGACATTGTGTCTAACCCAGACCTGCCATAAAAAAAACAGTAAAGCATTGGAGCCCCCGATAGGAAGGGTTTGGTCACAATGCACCAAACAGACTTTCTATGGCTCGGCAGCAGATTGTATCATAGCAGCATGTAGCCTGGATAGCAACTAAAGCATATGTGGTGCATAGCGACACCCTGAGAGATATGCCATTTTATAGAGTAACCTTTTTACACTCACTTAGGGGACAATCACAGGCACGCACACACGCACACACACACACACACACACACACACACACACACACACACACTCTCTCTTTCTCTGTCCCCTTGCAACATACCGCATGAGGTTGTCATAAAAACACGTCCTGCTTGCCACCAGAAACAAAAGACAGGAAAAGAGAGAAGGGAGGAGAAAGAAAGTGAAGGAAATAGAAGAACCAAATATGTCCATTGTGAAATGTTGTGTTGTTCATTGTGTTAGCTGGATGGCTCAATATCTGTAATGGTCAGGAGATTAAAGAAACTGATTATTCCTCAATTCCAGATTCACATAAAAAAAGGCACAGATGTAACCTGCTGTCTGGCCAGCACTCACCTCTTTGGAGGAAAGCACCACGCAGATCTTGGCAGCAGGATGGGGGTGAGTGGCTGTCCTGTGTGTCCGTCCACAGTGCTTATAGACGGGCTGGGGAATCGACTGACACCCTGGGTTGCAACTCCAACCATGCCGGTGTTGTTGGCGTTATTGATGTTGGCGTTTGAGCCTGATGAGGAGTAAGAGGACGGGGTGAAAGTGGTCGAGTCCATGAGCTTCTCATGGGACGGGCTCTCACCTTCGCAAGGTGAGCCCTTCTGGCTGATGTGCAAGGGACGCTGGGTAGTGAAGGACTGTGGGAAGGACACGCGGCCATCACTCTGGTTGTAGTAGTTGACATGGTTGCCGAACAACCCACCCGTTCGCTGTGGAACGAGAGGAGAGAGGGCGAAGACACCAAAGAGAATGGCAGAAAAAGACAGGAAGTTAAATTTTGTCTAAAAATTTGTATATTCTACTACACTCACATTCACCGCTAGCAGCAACAATTTACTCATTGTTTAAATGCTAAACCTTTTGTTACAAACCAAGGAGAGGTATAATTTGCGATGCAGAAAAAATGTAAATGTATTTTTTACAATAGAAGCAGAAATTAAATCTAAATTAGGATTTGAAAAATTTGAAATAAATTACACCTAAATTTTGGTGTTAAATCTCAACATTTTATATTAACTGAGTATCAGATCAGTTTGATTTTATTACATATTCTGTTAACAACTGCTGCTCAAAAATAATGTAGAACAATTATTATTATTATTCTTGTTTGTTTTGCAGCGGACAAAACATGAGCATATGAATGTAGCAGTGATGGTGAAATGGAAAGCTGCTAACTAGCTTACCTCAGCTTACCTATCAGCGAGGCAGTAGAAGACACTGTGTGTGTGTGTGTGTGTGTGTGTGTGTGTGTAGGACTTCCAGTGCTCAATCATTTGTTGTAATATAATTGTGTGTTTGATTTTGTGGTTTTGTTGTGTTTTATATTTGTCATCCCATATAAAGCCCTGATGACCACTTCCAAGTGTACTCCAGTATCTGCAGTGATTTGCAGCCAAGCTATGTGGTGGAAAATGAGGCTTTTAAAAATATTTTTGGATAATCTGAGCACATGCGAGCATGTATATGTATGTGCATGGAGCGATACTACGACTTGAAGCTGGGCGGTAATCATCTCGCTCTCTCTTTCTCTCTCTGGAGAGTGAGTGAAGGTGTGTGTATCCAACCTTTACCCTGAAGATATCGTCCTCAGATGCAGCCGACACAGGCTCCTTCAGGCCTTTATCCATCTCCTCCTCCACAGTCAGGTCTCCAGAGATGGCCCTCCGAATCTCTGGACCAATATCGTGCAACGTCCGCAGGCCCGCCTACACAAAAAGAAAATCACCACAAAGTGTTGCACTTATCTTGCAATAACACAGAGACTGACATGTTTATTTTGCTGTCAAAACCCTGAAACAAGGCCCCTGCTCTTACAAATTTTTTTTTTATGGCTGTCTTCTGAATGCCTTGATGATATAACACACATATACAGATTTATGATCAAGAGATAAGAACGTTTCTGTGTGGGTGTGTGTACCTGCAGAGAGAGGGCAGTTTTCGGAGGCACCTTGGCCACCAGCCCTTGTTCTTTCCTCTTCTTAAACTTGCGGAAATATTCCTGGATGAGGAAGGTTGCGTAGAACTTCCCGACTGTTACCTCATCATCTGCAAGAAATAAACACATTGTAATGATGACAGGCAAATGTTTGCAGATATCGCCTCACAAGTATTTGTGCATACAATAAATTCAATCATCGTATTCTTACCACCAGCAGGGGGCACCACTTGATCTAAGAGCTTCATGCTGGTTCTCTTCCAGATCTTCTTCACAATTGCCCTCAGTTCCTCATTGGCCTGCTCAAGGTTACCTGTACACACATGAACAGTGGATATAGTGAATATTCAAAGAAGGAGCTTCCCAGTAGCACACTACATAAACACAAAGCCAATCCATAAGCCTCTACATGACTCTATATGCATTTCCACTTAGAGGACAGTGTATTGTTGGTACACTGGGTCTCAGAATTCCCAGGATTGTGTCTGGATTAGAGTGTTCATGTGTCTGTTACCTTCCGTCTTAATCCTGAGTGCGGTTCTGACCAGGGCAAACAGTGTGGCGTTGAACATTACAGTTCCATCGCTGTTCAGAGGCATGTTCATTGACACTAGACGCTACGAGAGATAGAACACACATACATGGTGAAGCACGCTGTAACACAGGTTCACTTTCCTTCTCAGGAGCCAATAAATACTGATCACTGGTCATTTATTGACGATGAACTTCCTCTGTGTCTCTATATGTACAATCTATTGTCCAAGTGTCATTGTGGAAGATGTTATGAGCTGAGATGGTACATTCTGAATATCCCTCTGAGACCATGTTTAAGAATTTGTGGGACTGTGCTTGTGTTTACCTTGCAGGCAACTCTGTGGGGACAAAGCTTTCCAAAGCCGAGGGGAGGCTGGATTCTCCGGAGCAGAGTCACCACATCAAGATGCTTTATCCTCCCCCTGAATTCAGAACAGACGTCACATGAGAGAAACTCTCTGCACAACCTCTGCTGATCAAAGTATCATTATTCTGATGAACAGACATGGTCAGGTCAGTCATATTGTCATGATGAACCTACTTGGCTTCTGGGTCATATTCAGCCCAGATCCTCTTGAACTCGTCAAGATGATGCGGCCCCAGGATCGACCAGTCACGCGTCAGGTAGTCAAAGTTGTCCATGATGACAGCCACAAACAGGTTGATGATCTGGGGAGAATCAGGAGTCAGTCAGAATCTATACTATCAATATGTAATCAAATCCAGATTGTCTGTTTCAAATTATATGTTACTTTATGCAGTGAACTAATCTAAAATCTCTTGTCTCTTTCAATGTGTATTTGAAACCATTAATTTTCCATTAAAGAAAGTTTGCCTGTTTTTAAACACTCTCTTTTTGCTCTTCTTACAACAGGAATATTAGAAACATTTCTTATTGGGTCTCTCTTCTCACCAGAAAGGCACAGAGCATGTAGAAGCTGACAAAGTAAATGATGGCAAACTGGCTGCCACAGTCCTCGTGTGTCGAGCTGTTCTCATTGGTGGATCCCTTCTCACATGGCTGATTGGGCGAGCACGCCAGCATGATCTCCTGCCACGCCTCACCAGTTGCACATCTGACAGACGGATACATGCACAAACACACAGACACACAAACACAAATATGCACACGCACCAAAATATACGCATGCAAAGATACACAGATATAAATACACCAAAGAAATATATAGAGGCACACAAACATGCATAGATATGCACATATGGGCAAAAGTGCACCAGGAGTCACATGTGCATTTATGCATAAACACGTGCAGACACAAGGATGTGTGCACGTGTGCACAGAAGCACATAATACACAGACACACACATATACACAAGTACAAGAATGAAAAGAGGGAGACATAAACATAAATACAATTATTAGAGCAAGAACAGCATAAAACATGTCCTGACATACAATTTACAGAGCATATATGAAGAAATTTGATTTTGTATTTGATTTCACTGATCTGCATTCTGAATACTATATTTATTAAAAACTGCCTAATAAATTTGAGGGAATGACTGAGTTACTCTTACGCATAGAAAATATGAGGTATCAAAGTACACTCTCTATCTCTGAATTGAAGTTGACATATATTCCTTGAAGGGGACTGTACAGAATATGAGCTTGAACCAGCTTGAACCTTGGCAGTAAAACCGGCTTGTGGTGCAAACTGAAATAACATTTTTGTAACTAAAGTTACAGCTTGACATCTACAGATATCATGGTGTTAAAGAGAAGAGGTCAAGAGGAGATCAAGAAGGAAAAATAAAAGTAAAGTGATGTGGAATCACAGACATGAATGCTGCACAGAAAGCAGAAGATGTTTATTTTAAATCACAGTTACTCATTAAGAGAAAGACAAAAGAGAAATGTAGAAAATTAGGGCGAAAAAGCACAATGTGATGATGAAGAGTGTAGCAGTCTTCCTCACCTGAAGAGCAGCAACACTGCCTGAGGGAACGTCTGGAAATTGTTGTTCCTGTTGATCTGCGTGTGGTCCCGCAGCGCTATCTTACCAAACATCTGTACAGGAGGGATGTAAGTAGTCACAGCACACAGCATATGATGTCAGCGTTGAAAAGAGGAAGTCAAACAGAGTTAGAGGCCAGCTGTCCACAGAAAATCAAATCATAGTGTATCCCACGCATCATCAGTGACATAAACTATACAACGGCTTGTTGAAGAGAGAAAAACAGACAAGAGACAGGAAGTAGAGAGACAAAGATAGACAGTAACAAGGTTGCACGAGTGGGGAGAAAAGTGGAGGAGAGAAGGACGTTGTGACTGAACAGGAACTCTGGGTGACAAGACTCCAGGAGGACAGACACAGGACGAGGGCTTTGCTAAAAGAGAAATGGAGAGAGAAGAAAACAACAAGACAGAAGGAGGGAAAAGAGGGGACAAGTCAACTGCTTACCTGCATGCCGATGACAGCGTATATGAAGAATAGCATCACTATAAGCAGAGCTACGTATGGCAGAGCCTGAAGAGAAGAGAGACACATTAGTGACACATTGTCTTCAGCATTATCCTGCACAAAGGCTGGAGCTCATTCACTTTCATTCACATCTCACACATCAAATTAATCTAAGAATTAAATGTGAACATATTTTGTTTTGGTAGTTGATGAAATGAAAGTGAGCTGATCTGCAGTCCCGTGTGGCACAACACCAAAAACAATCCAGGGCAAATCATCTGACTTAGGAGTGAAAAACCTCAGTAAAATACAAACTGCTCTCTGAGATTAGTCAGGAGACCAGTCTCACTGTATGGTGCATAAACCAGAAGAGGTATTTACACACCTGGACAGCTGTGTGGAAACTGAGCTCCTGACTAACATTAACCCTTGTGCCTGGGAGAGCAGGGCCAAAACATGACACTTCTACAAAGAGGAAAAGGTTTAGATTTTCTGTCTGAAAGGCTTTTGGTGCCAAGTACAGCAACATGTTCATGACCACTGCTGATTTTAAACTGAACACCATGATTGTGGTTGTTGCTGAATTGCCAGCGTTTTTAAATTTGACTCTACGCTGCCATGAAGTGGCCCAACTTATCTAACACAAGAGAGAGAACAGATTATTTTAATGTCCCCGTAACTCTCTATCAAATGATTTCATTTTTGGTGGAGTGCTCCTTTAAACTCATCTACTACTTTACCCGCCTACAGGGAAGGGTGAACTCTTAGGGGTTAGTCGTAGGGTGTTTGAGAGTAAGAAGGGTAGAAGAAAAAGATATGGAGGAAGATGAGAAGAGATAGGAAGATGAGTAAAAAGATTGCTGGTTAAGTTTTTTGAGTTCCTGCCTGTTTCCCAACTTCATGTGCCTACATCCCTTTTCTACCTCCGCAGCGAGACTCTTAAACCACCTCTCCGTTACCTCATCCCTTCCCTCTTTCTTTCCCTCCTCGTTGGTGATACTGCGGGTAAACAGGCAACACAGTCTTGTGTCCCATCCCACTGACTTTCTAAACAAACAGGAGGCGGAGATGAGGAGGGATCAGGCGAGGAAAGGAAATGTGGCTTGTGAGACTCCACCAGGCTGGATTTACACAAGAACAAGGATATTTTAGCTCCATGTGACTCAGATTAATATTGATAACCATTAAACAAACTCATTCTGTTACACCTGCAACTGGGAAGTTATCTTTAAAATCATTTTGCCAAGTTTAGATCATAAAATCTGGTAAAAACTCGGTAAAAATGCGTTCTAGTCTGGTGTTCAGAGACGAGCACCATTCGGGGTCACATTAAGGTTAAAGCCCCACTTTTTTCTCTGCCTTCTCTGTTCTGTGCAAAACCAATTCCCTAGCATGTTGTGTCCGGTTCTCCCCTCACTTGGAAGGATTTGATGAAGGTCCACAGCAGGGTCCGAATCCCTTCCCCGCGAGACAGCAGCTTCACCAGCCTCATCACGCGGAACAGCCGGAAGAAGGTGATGGAGATCCTGGCGTTCTCTTCAGAGTTCTGCAGTCCCTTTTGGTGGGGTTTGGTGTTTTTGTTTTTAGAAAAAAACACAAGGACGCATGGGGACACATGCAGATAGGCAAGGGAGGGAAACACACACACACACACACACACACACACACACACACACACACACACACACACACAATCATTCAGACATACATACATACATGCATATTCACACACAGAAATGCAGACAAACATTTGTATGCATATTAACACCCACACATACATGTGGATGTAAATATACATGACGCACACACACACACACACACACACACACAACACACACACACACACACACACACACAAACACACACACAGACACACACACACACACACACTCAGTTAATAAATGGAAATCTGCGTCCTACAAAATCCCATCAAAATCAACTGACAAAATAGATCTGGGAGAGAATCGGGCAATCACGCTTATTTGTGTGGCTTCATGGAAAAATCACTCGGCAACAAAGAGACCAGCTGTCAGCTTCCTAAAAACATCAACTTCAGCTAAACTGAACACGTCCAACCATGCAGTCAGACAAGTCAACGTACTTTACAGCAATCACATTAACTGTCTTTATAGGAAGCTATCTGAAATATCAAAACTGAAAAAAAACAATGCCTGGATATTTCTTCCATCCCAGCCCGCCACTGTTCCCTCTGCCTCACCTCATTCTTGTCATAATCAGCGTGAAGAAAGGTGTTTTTTATTCCTATATCCTATTACGAGTAAATCTAGTGTTGCGGTGACATTTCTTTTACAAGCATTAAAACACTTTATGAACCCCTGAGGAAAATCTGAGCTGAGCTATTTGGTTATTCATCACCTGTATAGACTGAAAATCTAACTGGAACTGGTCCGCAGGGACTTCCATTGATGGAGGTAAGCTCTTTCATAAATCACTGATAACAATTCACAACAGATACAGAACAAAAATTCCAGCCTACGCGTAGATTAATATTTCAATAAATCATATAGGCAGGCTAATTCTCACAAAACAACTGGCCAACAGGTGGAAGAATCCACACGTGACATCTAGATAAGGATATTTCTGCCAGTGCAACCACTGCCAGATAAAAAATATATATTTTCAAGTATGGGCATGCAATGTTTTGTTTCTCTGGGTATTTAAAAAATCAATAATTTGGTAAACCTTGGATTCTTTAATTCAAATGATGCCCTAAGTACAGGCTTTCTAACAGTCTATTGTCCCAGCAGTCATCCACTGGAAATAACTTCATAATGAAATATTCAGTCATCTTGCTGAGTGCTATTCTAATACAGATTTATTTATTTATGCTGCTGCTCCTCATTCTCTACGACAAAATATCTGTGTAAAGCATCATGCAGTTAATACAGCGGCTATGGACCCGGGATATTATTTATAATTACACCACAAACAGCAGATGAATCAGACGACACCTATAATTAGCCAGCTCATACGCCTACTAAGTAATCAGTAAATGTAACAGTAAAAATTACAAAAATATTAACAAAAAAGTAAGAAACTTTAAAAAGGAAATATTCTCAACCACATAAGTAATATTTCTACCATAACAACCTGACCAGTATAATACCAAACTACATCAGTCTTGTCTGTAATAATTAAATGTGACCCCAAAGACACAACATCAACCTGAATCTGTTTTTGCCATTTGTGTTTTTCCAAGAAGCCATCAATTCTTAATACTAATCCCACAGTGATTATACAGAGTGCTCCTCAAAAGAACGTGCCATTCTCCACACATCTTACTGCAGTTTGGGATAACAGATATCACATATTACTTTTCAACAGATATCTGGTTTGTTAAAATGTTTTTGGGGAAATTGAAATGAATTAAAATTGTCTTAAATATTGGTATGATAGTGTTGAAGTGCTGTCTGCATATTTCTCTGCTGCAGTGTTGACAAGTAACTCAAGACATGAGTTGTCCCAAACATCCACAGACAGATGTGCAGAAGATGACACGCAGCTCTGAGGAGTGGAAATGAAATTTTTGTTACTGCAAGTAATATCACAACTGGACCACAGTAGGCGCCATTGCACCATTGAGAGAGTGAGTGGGCAGTGAGCAGGAGCGGTACAGTGACAGTAAGTGTAACAGAGAGAGAGAGAGAGAGAGAGAGAGGGGTGAAGAATAGTTTGAATTATTCAGAGACATGCAAACAAATAGACATATTCACAGGTAGACAGACAGACATAGATAGATTGACAGACAGACGTAGATAGATAGATAAATAGATAGACAGACAGACAGACAGACAGACAGACAGATAGATAGATAGATAGATAGATAGATAGATAGATAGATAGATAGATAGATAGATAGATAGATGGCAGGCAAGTGGAGGAAAGAGAGACAGCGTGGTAGCGTGACCATGATGGCTTGCATCGAGGAAGAGGGAGGAAATTACAAGCCATGGGGAGGTGGGGGGGCAGTGGGCACCAAGGCAACAACAATAGCCACTCAAGGAAAAACTCTCAAGACTCCAGTTATACTATACCAACACAGTACAGTGTCCTTCACTGTACATACAAACATATATATATATATATATATATATATATATATATATATATATATATTGTACATATCAACATGTACAAAGTACAGACAACAGCTATATAAATATTACTCTGGACATGCTGCAGAAGATGAGAGCAGCAGTGACAGAGAGGAGACGACAGGATGAACGAGAAGCCAAAAGTTCTGGATCGTACCATGTACGGCGTAGCAGGAGGAGGGATGGAAGGATAGAGGGATGGAGGGATGGTGGAAGAGGTAGGGAGGCGGACGAGGTTACCGTCGGAGCGTACCATTGGCCTTACCACAGGGGGGTGAGAGGAGGAAGAGGAGGAGGAGGAGGACGAAGAGGAGGAGGACGAGGACGAGGAGGAGTCAGCTGGCTTTAAGGAAAGGCAACAAAGATCAGCACCAGAGCAGCGCCTTGCTGTGAAGTGTGTGTGTCACCGTGCATGTGTGTGTGTCACTGTGCATGTGCATTTGTGTGTGTGCGTGTGCGTGCGTGTGTGTGTGTGTGTGTGTGTGTGTGTGTGTGAAAAACAATAAGAAATGCTGCCCTTTGCAACAAAAACCACCAGGCTCGTGAAGGTTCAGCCTCTGATCAGCCATCACAGTGTGGAGAGGTGAAAAAACACAATTTCATCTCGACCATGAGGGAGATTTCTCTGAGATGTTACCGCAGATAGCGACTGGCTTCATCCTCTGTGAGGGCCACATCAGACTGAATTATCAAAAACACTGGCAGGCTGAAACGTGGAGGAACATTGGGGACATTTCTGCCCCTCGCCTTGAGGGCCAAAATAATGAATGATGGTCTGGGGCAGCCACACGGGGAAAAGGTTGACTGTGTACCTGTCCATGTGAAAAATCTATATACAGTTTCTATATCGTGTGAACTCATGGATGTGTGTGTGAGTGTGTGTGTGAGTGTGTGTGTGTGTGGTGGGGGACAGAATGGCGCCTCTGTAGCTGTCTGTTTTTCTTTCTGCCAGCTGAAGCAACAGTGTAGTGACAAGTTGTTGCAGCTTTACTTTAACAAAGGCTACGTTTACCAAATGCATTGTGGCATTAAAAGACAATGCCTGCTCACACAGGGTGTTATTTAAACTGTTATTTGACCTTTTTACTTTCAGGTCAAAGAGGCATCAGATAAAATCAACTCAGTCAGTTCCACTTATGACAAAGATGATTTTTGTAAATCAGAGCCCACAGATATTTAAATAACACCAAGCAGCACAAAGATAACACACTGTAGGGAGACACCTACTGGTCATACTTGCTACTGCAACATTTTAGACAGCTGAGTGGTAGATCAACAAGTTAAGTTCAATCTATGACTCAAGAGCTGTTCACTCAGCTTTCATATTGGCCCTGTTAAAATACCTTAGCATGAAATGAATAGGTGAGATTATCTTCATCACCAGAAAGGAAAGGGAAAAGAAAGAAAACAAGAGAGAAAGGGAAAGAATTTCAGACAGAATGGAAGAAGTAGGAAATCAAGAAAAGCAGAACAAATAAGTGAAGGAAGGTAGAGGTTGAGAATAAACCAGAGAAAAGTTTGAATGAAGGATTGAATAAAGGAAGGAGAGAATAAAGCATATAAAGGAATTATAACAGGGCCATACACAAAATTTATGGTCACACACACTAATGTTAGACACAGAGTAACTATTTATTACTATTTTTACCTGCAAACCTGCATGCAACAGTATTTACTGATTTTCTAATCAACCAGAAACCATGACTAGTTATTTGCAAATTACAGGAATGTATAAAGAGAGGAGAGGGCTTGAAGATGTATACATCTATATTTATATCTATATATAGTTGAGTGTAAAATGTACTAGAATGGGGAAGTGGTCTCAGACCTGGACTCCAATAAGTCCGATAAAGAAGTGGGGTGCATTGTGGTGTGAAGGGAAGTAAAACTGGGGGAAGTAAGGACGGAGATAGTGATGGATAAAGTAAAGAAAGATATGCAGGAGGGAAGGAAGGAAGCAGGGAAGGAAGATGGCAATGATACTCCGTAAGAATAGATCAAGTTAAAAGGGTTTAAAAATAATTGTGAATGTGCGTACATGTGTGTGTGAATTACACAAAGGGCTGGCTGCATTAATTTAACCACAGTTTAAATCTGAATTTGGTTCAGTTTCAAAGTCAAATCAAAGTTTAGAATCATAATCAGGCTAATTGAAATTATTCCTCATTATTATGTTTGTCATTACGAATGACACAAAACACATTTCAGGGACTACAGTGGACGTGTGGCCCTGGAGAATGTGTGTGCGGACAAAGTAAATAAAAAACAAATCTATATGGAATCTGTAAATACATATGCAGTCGTCATTTCAGGCTGAACACCATGCAGATGTGAGTTACTGTAGCTAACTGGATTTATTTACATTAAACGGAAAATTTGCTTTTTTCTCACATTGCACAGAATTTTTTTCAAGCACAAACTTCATCAGTTCAGTCAGTTCAGTAGGTAACATGGGTTTTTTTTGTTTATACACATTTCTGCTCCTCATTTTTACTGTAGATATTGTATGTTATAATACTGCAACATACAGTGAAATTACTTTTCATTGAATTCATAGTGTAATGGGAAGAAAAACAAACAACAAACTATGTTTTTCTTTTCATTAATTGAATATAAAGCCGATAATGGGTATATGGGACCCATGTTACCCAGCTTGCATTTCAGGTGAGCAAGTGGCACCACAAACCATTGAGGAAGAAGACAGAGAGAGAAAGAAAGATAAACATTCAGAACAGAAAACGGAACTCAAGTGAAAAAGCTCAGAAAGAGACCGGAGATAGATAGAGAGGAGGAGAAGAGGCATTCCAAAGATAAGAGAAAGAAAAGGAGAAATAAATGCAGTCCATACTGGCATCATCTGCAAGACACTGCTCAGAGCAAACCACTACCAATCAACTCACACTACTTCTACTCAAACCAGAACCAAAAAACGTAAAAAGAAACCATACACGGTTTAAGAAGCACCCTCAGGTTTCTGGGGTGAAGTAGAGACCCTGGATTCTATTTCGATGTTCACAAAAAAATGCACTAATCTACGTCAACAGGCACCCAACGGATCAGCAAAGCAGGTGCACTCAAATAAGATGTTTTATCCATTTAAAACATTTTAAAAGCTAGCCTGCTGCTGCACCTCACTGTGCACGTATGAAAGCAGTGACAGAGAGCTGGTTGTTGGCAAACCGCTGCCATTAGTCTCCAATTGCATTGCTCAATATGATAAAAAGCATTCACTTCAGTGTCTGATGAAATGCAGTGCCAGGCTTGAATTTAAAATGATTAAGTGACAGGGTCCCAGTTCAAAAACAATCAAAAGTTCTCAAAGGATTAAAGTGAGGACGGTTTCTTTAAAAAAAAAAAAACGAAAAAAGAAAAGGTTGTTTTGGGCTCTTTGCCCAAATCATTAAAAACCACTAAAGAAGTAAAAAAAAGACAAGACTTGGGGCATGCCTTTAGGTTAGAGGTGAAAAACTGTGACTCATTCAGAAAGAACTGCAAATCAATCAATCAAAACAAAGTGTGTAACACCAGTGACTTGTATAGATGACAAAGGTGTATATCTCTGGCCAAAGAAACCTTAGCATAAATGGCTACAGAAATGTTACATCTCAAATTCTTTATTTTATAAGCCATTTGTTAAACATCTGTATGTACCTTTATGTTCTTCTCTCTCTACACACAACCACACTTTACTTCTAGATCGGATAAATTCACTGTCTGCAAGGCAAAAACAGGATTTATGATCCATTTGTGATTCCCCCAGCATCAAATTCCTGCAATAACAAGATAGAAAAACTGAATAAAACATATCATATCCCAGTAAAGTGAATAAAGCAGAGGGTTGTTTATACACAGATTCTTATTGGGTCAAATGGATTCCCTTTCTAAAGGCATGGAAACAAGTGCCACGTTCACATTCCCCTGGGATGCACTAGCCTGATTTGTATGTGTGGCCAGTGCTGTCTAAGGTAAAACACTGCACTCTGCTACGGGGGAACACACTGGAGTACCCCGTTGCAAAGAAAAGGATGTGCACAATGTCCTCTAACCAATACAGCACCCTGCTTACAGTTGAGGGTGTGAGAGTAAGTTATGCAGTTAGATCTTCAAACCTGTGTTGTTTTTTTTGCTTTTATACTTGAGAAATTTAAATTATTCACACCCTTGCTGATATTTAGAAAGAAAATGTTTCACATTCTCATCTCCTTTTGGTTGAATTAAGCTTTAACACAATTTGCCTCCAGTTCACTTTCAATCTGTGCGAGTGAGGGGGCTTTCTGTGGCAAAGCAAATCCTCAGAGTGGCTTTGCATGGAGTTCCACTTCAGTAAACTTTGACCTGCAAGATTCGCCTGCTGTCGCACGTTTTTGTGGGTTAATTTTTTTTTTTACCTTTTAACAGAGCTAGACTAGCTGCTTCCCCCTCCTTTTGCATCTTTATACAAAGCTAAGCTAATCAGACAAGACAATAAAGAGTATTTCCTTAAACTATTCCTCTAAAGGATCATTCTCGTTTGGTTTATTTTGATGGGTAACACTGAAACAATCATCATATCAAGAAATAATGATTCTGTCATCTGAGGTATTTTCACAAAATGTTTGTTGATGTAAAATGCAATGTTTTACAGATTACGATATTGCAGATAAGGCATGAGATGTTAAAAAACAATATACTCTCCAACAATAACCTACTTCACAGAACATAAAATATTTTTTGTGTGATATTCAGCTCTTTGACCACTGTGGTCATAGTTTTCTAAAGAGGAATTCTGTGCAGCCACTCTGTAGGTTTGCACGGTTTTCAGACTATTCTCCTGCCAAAGAGCACTTAAAATATCACATGAATAAAACACCAATTATCCCTGAAGTGTAAATACGACAGACACTCAACATTTGACTTGTGTTTAGGATATTCATTCTTATTTACCCCACTATTGACCATAGAGCCTCCTTGTCGATAATAAATTAATTCATACATACATTTACATAAATTTCATGGGTCCTGAGTAAATCCATTTATTGATCAAATTGTTCCCCATGTATGCACTATTGCTACTATTGGATTTAAAAAAAGCAAATTGTTTTTTTCTCATTCGTATTTGAAGTTTCCGTGGTGATTTATGAATTGAGTTTCATGACCATAGGGTCAGAACACCCCTGTTCGAAAAGGAGCATCCGTAATCCTTTTTTTGCCTACTAAATCTAACATATACAGAAATGTACAAATAATAAAGTCATGCAGGCCTGGATATACCACCTTGTATCTGTCATGCTATATGGTCTCCATCATGCAATGGGAATGGATCAAATGGACCCAATGTGGAAAACAAACCCAAGTGCTGAGACAATGCAATAGGTTCTATACACAAATGCAATTGTTTCTGATGCTATTGATGCTCAGCAGACCAAGGCATGATACCTAAGGCAGTTTCAAATATGAGAAAACTAGAACAAAAAAACGACTAAAGAAAAAAAGAAAAGACAAGTTGGTTTACAGCTTTATCACACGGCTGAATACAAAATGAGCGACAAGGTACAGGCGTGCAAATTGTTTTGCTGCCTGGGTTGTTATTTATACTGTTAATATTGTGTTCAGGGTGGAGGGAAAAAAACCACAGAATTTATATTTACGCATGTATAAAAGTTCACAAACTCTTCAGAGGACACAGTGCTCTGATTTGATTGTGCCACATCTGGCTGCTTTTCACTGCCAGACTTATTCAGCCATCTATTAAGTTCAAATGTTGTGCAGCTAAAGTTTCCTAATCATTTGAAAGCATGCGAGATGGGTATCGGCACTCGGTCTGTTTGTGTGTGTGGGAATGGCAGAGCGGGCAGGCAGGAAGGGAGGGAGGGAGTTGGACTACTTACGTTAACCTCAGTGATCGCTATGTCAACAATGCTACCCACAACTATCAAGGCATCAAATGTGTTCCATGCATCAACAAAATAATGCTGCGTAGGGGTGGACAGAACAGAAAAACAACAGAAAAAAAAGAACAGAACATAAGACATTTATAAAGATGGAAAGAACGGAAATTAAAGGAGAGAGGAGAAAAATAAGATAAAAAACATTATATATACTTGAGCACTGGAGTTTTTACTCGGGGGGAGAAAAGGGAGAGAATCAACAAAATTAAACGGCAAAGAAAAGAAAAGAAGTTGCAGTCTGGAAGAGATGGACAGCAGAGGAGGAGGAGCAGCAGCGATCAGTCATGCTTGAGGAATATGTCAACAACATGAACAACAGTAAAGAACAAATTGCAACAAAATCACAACCAAAAAAACACCCGTTGCTGCAGTTAAAAAAAGAAAAAAGAAAAGGTGTGTGAGGCTAGTTGTGATTGGTCAGTGAGTTAGTTCAGTTTGAGTTAGTTCAGTTAGTTAGGGAATCAAACCTGAGGACATGTCAGAGTCTGACAAAAAATAAATAATAAAAAAAGAAGAACCCAACAACATTTGAGATATTGTAAGGACGACGCAACGCTAAACCCTGCCTCTGTTGACTCAACTTTTTTTTTTTTTTATCAAACCCTGGAAGAAGATCACTCTTGTTGAGGAACCTTTGCGGCTGGGGGTCGCCTGAGTGGCGGTGGCGGCCATCTTGGATTTAAGGAAGTAGGAAGAGAACAGGGATGAGGTAGAAGGAGGGAAAGAGAAGGTAGACAAAGAAGAGAGAGAGGTGGTGGAGAAAAGACAGCACGACAAACGAAAGAAGAGTTGACGGAAATTAAAGATACAGAAGAAGTAAGGGGGCACAAGACAGAGAGAAAGGAGGAGAGACAAGGAGACTGAAAGTGGGCGTCGTACTTACGTTGATCTCACTGAGAATGACGTCTATTATGCTGCCAATTACGATGAGGAAATCAAACACATTCCAGGGATCACTAAAGTACCCCTACACAGGATGAGGTGAGCGGGAGGAGGAGGAGGGTAGGAAAGGTAGGTTAGAAGGAAAACAACATCTGCTGCCACTTCGCAGCCTTAATAAGGTAGTATGAGGTTTCACAGTAAACTGAGGACAAACAAAGTAATCGCTTGATAAACCAACACAAACAGAAACATTTGAATACGCTTGAACAGAATCAACTTGTTTCCATTGCAGTATCTGTTCATCGAGTGCTGTAAATGTCCTGCTCTATTAGCGATGGTGTTACAGATGGTAATTATTTATGTCTTCTGCCTGCATCTCGGGATGATTCTGCAATGCTGTGGTGGTGATTAATGAAAGGTCACTATGTTTACTTAAATCGTTCTGGGCAATTCATCATCAGCTGCGGCACAAAGTGAGTCTGATGAAAAAACATATTTGTAGCTTCAGGCTAAACAGTATTATTTAGGCTGATAAAACACATTGATAGCATCTGTACTTATACTTAGAAAAATTATAATGAATAAAGGATTGTGTTATTTACTTGTGCGGACTAGTGTGTATTACAGTGAACTTGAAAAGCTGATGGCAAAGATGTGACAAGAAGACTTTCTTTTCTTTTCCTTCCAGAAACATTTTCATTCAGATTATCATCAGATTGTTTTTTTTATCACTGGGCTAGGAGCTATCATGTTTTTTTCCATGTTAACAATAAGATGGGAGAAAGATGGCTGGATTTGAAGGATTACTATCTGAATAATGACATGTGAGGCCTTTACATTTTTTCTTACACTGTAAGTCTGCTGAGGTAAACATACGGGATAATTAACTTTTAACTAATGCTATTAAACATGTTTTATCTGCTATCATTGAATACTGTAATTGTTATAGTTGATTAGACCAGGGATAAGAATTAACATTGAAAGAACATTGGTTAAACGGAGCTCAGCATTAGTATCCAAATACTGATGTATGTAAACATATTATAGATTTAACATGGCTTTCAGTACAGTGGGAATTCAAACCATACAACACAATAAAAATAGGGATGAAACTTGTTAAAAGTTAAAGCATATGTCTTCTCCATTTTACTTGACTGAAAGGTGCTGAAATACCTAAGGAGAAAAAGTGTTAGTCAGCCGCTCCTCAATGTGCAATAGCTGATTAAGGCAAAAGTTTAATAAAGTCAAACCAGAAACAACAAGGCACATACTTAAAATGATTCTTACTACCCCATCCAGGTTTAGGGAGCTAAGAGGCTAATTTCATTAGCACTGTTCAATATGTCGTCATGCTGCACTATCGACTAAGATTTATATAAAGATTCATATCTCTACTAGTGAAACTCCAACATGGTGATTTTCAAAAAAAGTGCAGTTTAAAATATTAATTGATGTAAACACGAAATAACATTAGATAACTAATAGAGCACAGCATGATGTCAATTCCCAAGGCCTACATTTGTCCTGTGCAATTAAGGGGTTGATTCGAACTGGGGCTGCTTATGCCTCTTGACACTATAAGGCATGCGTTATGTTATTCAGACTAAATGGTCTATGTCGATAATTACTTTCCAAAGTAATTACTAGATATCCATCTTTCATCCATTCTAATAAAAAACAAATTTTTGTAGAACAAGATTTGGATTCTGGAGCTAAGTGGAATAACAAAATAATTTTAAAGGTTTTAATTAGTTGTTTGAGTTTGTTTGTTTTTAGTTTATTTTAACTTTAACTCAAATATTGGCCTTTTTCTGGAAACCAATCATTCCAAAAACTAACCACAATTAAGTTTACATATGCAACGAATAAGTAAACTAGGAACAGTCATATAAAATAAATAATGGTAGTTTGAATTGATGCTTTAGAATTGAGTTGCTATTTGGTTCAATGTAATCTATAAAAACCATCAATTACTGGGAAGTCTTGCATGTTAAATTCTATATATCTACAAAGCTATAATACAGATAAGAGTACAGAGATAATTTGGTCTCAGTGCTGATTGTGTTCAATTTTTTACTTCCTCTGTTGGAAAAGGGGAGGAGGCATTCCCATCTGTTACAATTTAAAAAGCTGATGCACCAGGAAATTCTATGACTGCACCAATAAACCCACACATATACATGTACATAGCAACAACAGTGGGGTAACAAGGGAGCAGCGAGATTAAAAATCACATGTTGTTGTCGGCCACTAATCACGTTTCAAATCTGCGGTATTTTAATTATCATCTGGTGGAAATCAAAAAGGGATTAGGAATGTACAGAACAACATCAGTGAGCAGTTGTCTGCAGTAAAAAAAAAACATGATTCAGTGGCTGTAATGTCTTTGCTATTTTTCTTACAGGTTGTAGCAAGTAGTAAGTAGAGTAGTGCAGATTTGTGTGTTAGCTAATCTTCTGCCAAACAAAACGCTTTTTCTGTGCTGCTCCACTTTGATCTACTGTATTTTACTCTGTTGCTCTGTGCTGTTATTCTATCCTGCAGTTAGAGTAGTGGACCTACCCTTGGTTTGAAGGCAATCAGTTTCAGGATCATCTCCACAGTGAAGAGTCCAGTGAAGAGCATGTTGAGGATGTTCATGGCGTCATTGAAATTTTTGGTCTGTCCATGATGCTGCCAGGACACACAAACACCTCATTAATGCAAAAATATTGGCCATTTTTGCGGGAGTCTTAATATTTCCCCATTTGAGGTGAGAGTGACTCACCTGCATGGCCAGACAGATGGTGTTGAGGAGGATGAGTGTGAACATCAGGTACTCAAAGTAGGTGGAGTTGACCACATACCACACCTTGTACTGGTAGGGGTTCTTAGGGATGTAGCGGCGCAATGGACGGGCCTTCAAGGCATACTCCACACACTGACGCTGTGACACAAACACATCTACACGTGAGTATACACAAACCCATTTCCTAACTGATGTGGTTTTCCAACTCCTCATCTATCTGTCGCTGTACTCAGACCATTGTGGAGGAAATTATGTGGAACTGCAACAACTCCTTTTCCATCTTGGACTATTCTTTCATCCTCTGCCTACGTTTCCACGGCTTTTCGGAGACATGGATCATCACAAAGAACTCAGCTGCAGGGACTTGGACAAGCTCCTCCTTTACTCTCATCTTCTGTATTGACTTCTGCATCTCCCTCCTGGCTGGATTCCTCAAGTAGTTCCCACCCAAAAACTCATGAATCACCGCCACTGCCTGGCCTCCATACTGTCTCTTTAGTAACTTAAGGACTTTCCCACTTCAGTCAGAACGGTGGAGTCACTCTGCGTCAGTTATGTCACCTGAAAACTCATACTTTGTGTGTCATTAGCTGCTTAACGACAGCAAAACACTGAAGTTAGAAAGCAAAATCTCACAAATTCAGGATAAACACACACAACCATTACCTGGTTCTTGTCCAGTTCACAGTTCTTATACTCTTGCTCTCCTTGCTCCTGGAAGGTGACGATGACGAAACCGACGAATATGTTCATCATGAAGAAGGCAATGATGATAATGTAGATGATGAAGAAGATGGAGATGACCACCCGATAGTTGTAAACGGGTCCGACATCCTCGGCGTGAGAGTCTATGGCCCGATACAGTAACCTGAGTGCAGGAGAGAGGGAAGGTTTATGGAAATGTGAGGAAACTATACAATGACATTGCTGAAAAAACGTAAAAGCATGAACAGTGTTCATACAAAATGTGTATCAATATATATGAGTGTGGTGTTTGTATAAGGATACACACCCTGGCCAGCCCTCAAAGGTAGACACAGCAAACAGAGCCATCATGCCTTGCAGGACGTCATCAAAGTTAAAGTCACTGTTCTCCCACAGTCTGTGGGCTCTTTTAGGCTTTCCCACATCTCCATCCTTATACATGATGTAGGAACCCCTGCAAATACAAGTAGACACTCATGCATATTCCCATTTTTGTTTCATTATTGGCTAAAAGAGGGACGGCCACAAGTGTCTGTGCAGGAGGAATGTCTTACCTGCATTCAGCTTGAGTCTGTTTGGAGGTGTCCGTACAAAAGAAGAACTTGCCCTGATGGAGAAACATAAGAATGTATTATTCTATCTTAGTACGACTAGAAATAACATGGTCATGAATATTGTCTGATAACTTCTGAGAAGGCCTGCAGACAGCTCGGGTTTCTTTACCTTAAAAAGCTGTACTCCAATACAGGCAAACATGAACTGGAGCAGCGTGGTGACGATGACGATGTTGCCGATGGTCCTGATGGCCACAAACACGCACTGCACCACATGCTGGAAAACCCATCAGAAATGACAGTGAGCGTATGTATGTGTGTCTCCCCTGTTTATGTGTTATATGGCTTTATGTCTGAGAGAGCTAACCTTTAGGCCCTTGGCTCTATTGATGGCTCTCAGCGGTCTGAGCACTCGCAGAACTCTCAGGATCTTCACCACATTAATGGCACTGGACCTAAAAAACACATGGAATTAAACTACTGAACCAGGCCAACTGATTTAACACACATTTTACAGTTACAATTTATTTGCAAGGTTGGAACACACATCCTGGGAAACTTAGGATAACATCTTTAACACAAACTGTGGAGATTGAGACAACTCAACACACAAACCAAAGAAATTACAATAATAATGAAACAACCTGGAAAAACAACAAAAATAAGGTGAAAATATTAGAAAAAATTAATTAAAAACTTCAAGATCAAGTGAAGGTCAACTTAATTACTTAATACTTAAATTACTTAAAATACTATCTTTACAGAATGTATGATTAAAGATGAAACATATAAAACTATTCTAAAATATCTCTATATACTCTTCTATATTAGATAAGGTCTCAGAGAAGAGATGACTCTTAAGAAATCAAACACATCTTTAATTAAAATAAATGAAAAATGATTATGCTTTAGGTTTTTTTGTATGACTGATAACATGTTCTAAATGATTAATGCAACACAGTACAACACACAAAACATACACCGATCAGCCACAACATTTTTCACGTGGCTGATCGGTGTACACAAACACGTATGATACGTGGACAGACACAAACAAGTACAATAAGAACGGACCAACACAAAGACACAAACAGGAATTCACAGGCAAACTGAGCCTTATTGTGCTGTAAGAGTGTGTCTGTACAAGCCAAAGGTCAAACAGTGTGACCTTCTAAAGGAAGTGGTATAAAATAAAAGTTTAACATACTAAATCAAATCAAATGAATACTGTGACATTTTGAATTTTACAATAAACGTTGGGAAAAGGTTGAACATTGGTTCTTCAGTGATCGGAACTAAGCTCTATGAGTCTGATTCTTATCAATTACAGGTATAAAAAATGCGAGAAATCCAGTAAATATATATTTGTGAGGGAGGCTAATAACCCAGTTATCCAGTTAGTGGAAGAGCAAATACAAAAACCTTTTCCCACAGTGTGACAAAGGGAGAAGGAAAAAATACATATTCAAAATGTCAATGTATCCTTTAAAGGGAGTGACTTTTCAGGAGGTTCGGGGGATGATTTAACGGAAGTGATATTACTCTGCTCTGACTTTTAAACAGAAAGGGAGAGACCCGTTGTACAACGTTTTATACAGGAAGGTAAAGTTTAAAGACAGTTAAAGGTAGTACATGTGGAGCAGGATGTTAAACATTACAGTCAAACCAGCTGTAAGGATTTCCTTAGGTGATGGAACATGCCATAAAAATGTCAAATTAATTCTTAAATGTACAAAAACATAACATGTATGTTATTAACTTGAATTTACTGAGCTGACGTGCATGAAGAACCAGTTTCTACCTAATGAGGGAAATAGTCTATCAACATCCTTCAGATACTGTTTTATATTGGCTAAGTTGCCATGATTCTTTCACATCTGCTGATGTTAGCCATATGTCTCACACACACACACACACACACACACACACACACACACACACAACCTTTCTACGACCCTTGAAGGATAAGCGATAAGGGATGGATGAAATGTAATGTAATGTAATGTAAGAGGGCTTCCTCCACAGGACAGATATACTGAATAAAATGCAGTCTGCAGGCACTACTGAATGCAGCATCATTACAATTAATTTGACTGTGAATCATTAAAAAAGATCCCGCTCACTTGCTACCTTTAACAGGCTAAAACTACTGAGGTTCAGCATTCAGATGTCATTTCTATAGCCCAGGAGAGTTCAGGTTGTGCACAAATTGTCTTACTACATTAATCAGATATGAAATGGGACTACAGTATTAGCTGATCCAGAATCATTTACCCAAATAAAAACAATACCCACTATGCTGCAGTCTGTAAAGGGGCAATCTGGCATGCAACTACTGCTTAATTGTACCATTACTGTACTCATAAAAGTATAATCCCAAATCCTAAAATAAAATCGTCAATAACATTTACAACTACAGTCCTAATTTTCAGGTTTTTTGGTATGAAGGAAGCTAAACTCTCCAAGACGACAGAAATAACAAATCAAAAGTGTGACAGCTTTACACATTTAAGGTGAGGGTCTATTAAAGGGGGGTTATTAATACGGACTAATGTGGACTTACGTCGAGAAGTCTAGTCTATTAAGCATTAGAGACAGAGAGTGTAGCATAGCATATTAAACAAAGGAAATATCAAAGCAGTTCCAAGGAGTTATTTGCTACAAGAAGCAGAGGACATTTTAATAAACATCACAAAGAGAGGAAGGATTGAGAGAAAGGATTGGGGGTAATGAAGTGTGAAGTTATTAGAGAATAAAATAGGAAAGTGTGAAGAATGCTGGAATTTACAAAGGAAAACATTTCCCCCACTTATCCACTTTACACTTTGATTCATGGTGTTTTTGGACTTTCTCATGCAGATGTCACTACATGGCTGACTGGAGTTTTAATGTGTAGAACACAAATGTACAGTTCATGACACTGGAAGCCCATAAGACTTGTGATTAAAATACTATGGAATGAGATGTGTTAAAGTTTCAGAGGATAAAGAGGATAAAAGCGGAAAGCATGGATTTGAAAGCAATATAATTCACTCACTGTATTCCAGATGAGATGAGGGACACACTGACCACCACCAGGTCTAGAATGTTAAAATAGTTTCTACAGAATGAACCTTTGTGGACGAAGGCTCCATATGCTGTCATCTGCAGAGATCAAGTTGAATGTTAAAAGGTCAAATTAAAAAGAATCACATCTTACAAATACAGTTGCACCTTGCGCCATGTATACAGGGCTGTTACATGTTATCTGCAAACAGTTCTTAGTCTTAGTACAAGGTGAAAAGGACAACACAGCCAAATATCAGCTGCCTTTTTGAGGCTTTCCTGACTCCAACGTGCATTAGGGACCGCACGAAATGAGACATAAAATCACGTAGGCCATTAAACACCAAACACTACCTTAAGAATGATCTCTATGGTGAAGAGTCCAGTGAAGACATGATCTGCATAGCCCAAGATCTGCAAACACAAAGGGGATTATTCTGCATTTAAAGCACAATAACAAGAAAGTGTGGTCAGCTGAGGCCTGGTCCTGGATGATCCCACAACTGAAATAGTGACGCTCAAGTTAAAGTCAGAGGATAATGAATTCCTATTAGTCTAAAACAGATGTTGAAAACAGAACGGAACCCGAAAAAAACCTGATTAATTATGTCATTATGGTTTATGATGAAGGTTAATTGAGTAGACTAATATGCAGCAGCCCATTCCGAAGCCATGGAAAATACAATAAATAACATTTTTATTAGCCCCTGAGGGATTAGTTCACTTGCTCACTGAGAGAAGAAACAATGTAAAGACTCAGATAGAGCACTCACAGCCTTTGTATAAGACTGCAGTTTGCAATTAAAGACCCCAACTCAATTATAGCTATAAGCACCGAACAACATCGCTATATAAACAATAAAGTGATGCTTCATTAGCGTATACAACCACAGTGGAGATGCATCTCCCACAAACACAAACAGTACATGTTTTTTGGGGTTGTAGGGTTTGGAGTATGGCTGATTACAGAGGTTCTTCACTTTAATGGTTTAAGAAATGATTACAGTATTTGTTCACTTTGTGTGTTCCCTAATATAACGTGTTACCCAGTATTTAATACAGTATTCATACAATTTCTATGTTAAGAAAATGCCAGTTACAATAAACATTGCTTCCTTAATATGTTGCCATTGGTGTACAGGCAACTAATGATGGCTACAGTCTTTTAATTAATTTTCTATTGTCTGTCTGCTAATGTTCATTCAGCCATACATTTTTATATATTTTACATACACTTATGTTTTATTTTTTGGTCACCTGGTTTCTGAAAGAGTCGTTCTTCACCGGGTCTTCCGCTGCCAGACTGATGCTGCTCAGCAGGATGAAGAAGAGGATGAGGTTGGTGAAGATGTTGTGGTTGACGATCTTATGGCACAGAACCCTGAATCTATAAAATAAGAGTGAGAGAAAGAAGAGAAAGAGTGAGACAATCTTATTTCTCTTATTACACAATCAACAGGACATCTTTAAAGGATGAGAACATTTGAATAAACACATTGAGATACAGACTGAGAGCAGAAGAACCTGAGGACAGTGAGGGACAAGAAAACAGAGGTATGGTGTTTTCTTACTTGTTGGTGTGGCTGAAGATGAAGAAAGCACGAGCCTCAGGCATGGGAATGGCCTTCTCCTTCAGCTGAATGTCGGAAAGTGGCCGTGGCCTTGGCCCCACCGGCATCTCTGGCTCCTCGTCATCCTCGTCACCTAATGGGGAATTTGAATAGAACAGAGAAGAGGACAAAAAAGAAAAAGGGAGGATGGTAAGTCAAGAGGAATTAGAGTTTTTAGTTTCTGGAAAGGTTCAATTTATGAAAAAATTTACTAATTTAGCCAATCAGTCATTTACACAGGCATTTGTCTGTGGCTGTGCTGAGTGTTACCTATGTAATCGTTTGCAGGATATGGATTCTTCTCTTCACTCTCATCTCCACAGTAGTCATCCATGTTGATCTGCAAAGGGAGAGCATTTATTCATCAGTTCATTCTCTGACGACATACACACTCAAAAGTTCACTTATTGAAATCTGTGGCTTCTTTATTTCAAAGGCCCGATCTCACAACTGATGCAAAGTGGTGCAGAGTGCAACTCAAGTGTCTTAATGGCGTGTTGGTCAAATAAGATGGGGTCAAATGCATTCTTGTCATGGTAGTAATATATGCACCTATATATGGATTCATAATATGTGCACATTGTTTGTGAATGAAACTATTTCCACAGCAGAGAACTCTCTCTCACAATCTTCCATTATAAAAGTAATCCGCTGAGATAACATTCTGATTGGTTCTGTAACATTTATGCACTTGCAACATGCACTTTAGTCCTTCCCTTGTTAAAATTGAGCTCTCAGTCATTCATGTGTGTCTATGTGCACCTTAGTAGCGGTGTTGGTCTCTCCATCTGAAGTGATAGACTTCAGTTCTATTTTCTCCTTCTTCTCCTGCAGAGGCGGCTTCTCATTATTGTGGCGTTTCTCTGGACTGGCCAGCCTGACGAAAGAAGCAGACAAAGAAAACCCTCATCAGTTCCCTTCCTCCTTAACCTGAAAGTCTGAGCCCATGTTTTACTATTGTTTCCTTGTGCATCAGATAATTACATTACAAAAATAAACACAAAGTCAAATGTCACATTTTCACTGAGTGGTTGTTTTCAAGTCACAGAAGGAGGCCGTGCTTTTTTAATCAAATCAAGATGATAGTGGGCAGGTAAGTGATTGTCCTCTATTGCACTTTTCCCTCAGATCAATACAGGTTGCAACCAAGAAGGACACATTTAATGATTTGTACCACTGAGGGGACACTATCTTCCTCGGCTGCACTAAAATCCAACACTACCTTTGCTGACAAATTGCCTTTGCCAACAATGAGACACAAAAATGAAGTAAAGGAAAAGTAAAGCCAGGAAATGTCAGCCTGTCTTAAAAACCAAATATGTTCATTTTGTAATTTCAACAATTTCTTTTCCTTCTCTACTTGTCTTTATTTCTCTTTCTGCTTTACCTGGCTAGTTTCTTCCTCTCTTTCTCCTCCTCCTCTTCTTTCTGGGCGGATGTCAGGCTCTCAGCATCTGCCAGATTGTCGACAGCGATGGCCAAGAAGACATTCAGCAGGATATCTGTTCAGAGGGTTGACGTTAAGGATGTTGCTGACCCATCAGATTATCAGTGTAGTTGGCTGCAAACAAACCTGGTCGGCTAAGAGAATAATTAGAGACCTCTGTGCATCTGAAAGACACTGAGCTCCCAGATGCTTGAATGGAGCTGCTCAGAGACCTACAGACAAATGGTTTTGGCTTCCATAATGTACTCCCATGCAAAACAATCCCTTACCTATAACTGCATCTTCCAGAGGGGCGAGAAATCAGGTCATTAGACACACTATTATCCATTTGACAGCATCAGAAAACAAATGTGGTTGTCAACTCCAGGTTGATTTTTTTGTCCTTGTCATCACTTATCATCCATCCAACACTTTTCAGGTCCACAACACCTAGGCTGCTGATTAACTATCTCATGTAGACGTCTGCTGTGGAAGGATACAGTTTCCACAGATGAAGAGGATGATGAAGTAGATGCAGACCAGCATGCCAGGGAAGGACGGTCCACCATACGCCATGATGCCATCGTACATTACAGAGTTCCAGTCCTCTCCTGTTAGGATCTGTGGAGCAAGAAAGAAATAGAGTAAATCTTGTTGTGTGTTTCATTTCATTGCAAGACTTTATTGTATTTTATTGCAATACAATTTACGGTGGAAAAGAAAACAGCAGAAGGACATAGAGTGCGAGCATTAACGCGTCATTACCTGAAACACGGTGAGCAGAGACTGGGGAAAGTTGTCGAAGGTGCTGCGTCTGGTCTCGTCGAAGTTGAATTTCCCCCCAAAGAGCTGCATGCCGAGCAGGGAGAAGATGATGATGAAGAGGAAGAGCAGGAGCAACAGCGAAGCGATGGAGCGGACAGAGTTTAGCAGGGAGGCCACCAGGTTGGACAGTGAGTTCCAGTATCTGGGGGTGAGATGTTCAGGTAAAACTGTAATCTCAATTCAGGAAATATATGTGTATAGAGACGTAGTCCCTGTTCATAACCCTCTGTTCAATAAATAACAATAATACGTATTAAGTGTCTTTATTAACCTGGTTATTTTGAAGATCCGTAGCAAGCGCACACAACGTAACACAGAGATGCCGAGAGGAGACATGATCTTGGTTTCCACCAGAATGGTCTCCAGGATTCCTCCACATACTACAAAGCTGTCAAAGCGGTTAAAGAGCGAAACAAAGTACGCCTGTGGAGAAAAGATAGGAAGGTAAAGGTAAAAAGCAGAGGAGAAAAAACATCAGGTATTGAAATTTGTCTTGACATTTGTACTATTCACAAAAAAGTGGCCTTCTTCCTGCATAACAATTCAAATGATGACATTGACTTTTATCCTCCTACCTGTAGGCCCAGACTGTACATCTTCAACAGCATCTCACCAGTGAAGAGTGCTAGCAACACCTTATTGGCTATGTCTGAGGAGAAGGGAAGAACCAAGGAAAGTGAGAGGGGTGGGAAAAAGAAAATCAGGAAGGAATAAACATGGAGTTAGGACAAGTGGAGGTTTGTGAGGTGTGTTCACATACCCTGTACGTCTGTTAACCACTGAGGCTGCTGGTGATGTTCAGAGGCAATGGTGAGTGTGTTGAGGAAAACCAGGAAGATGACCAACCAATAGAAAACTTGAGATTTGACCGCCGCCCGGCACTTTCTTCTGCATAGCCTGTTCCACCTTCGAGAGTAGCGACTGAGAGAGAAGAAGAAGAGATTGAGGGAGAGAGTTAGGAAAGACAGACGAGGAGCGTGAGAGAAGAAATAGGAGTGAGAGTGAAAAACAAACAGCGGAGGAGAAAGAAAGAAAAAAGACAGAGTCAATTCGTTTTTTTCTACAGAGTAGTGATGACATCACCCTTCGGTCTGTGGTTGTCAGTTGTTGGAGAGCTGAGCTGTGGAACAGAGTTAGTCATGTTCTGTTGCAGAATGAGATATGTACCGTTTCAGAAAACACAGAAATACTTGTGCAAAATGATTGAAGGGAGAAATTTAAAGTGAAATGTGATTCCAACTTCAATGGAAATGTGCGCTTCAAAAGAAGAGGTGGCTCGTTTATGAGAAACAAAACATGTTTTTCTTCTTAGAACTTGTTGTTTTGTTCTGTTGTTCTACACATACACCTCACCCTCATACCTACAGTATGATAAACAGTACATTCCATATTTCTACTCACGCTCATGTACCATGTGATCTGACCAGTGTACCTTTAAAATGTCATTGTCATTTTCACACTAAACAAGATTTACTGATGACAGTAGATCAAGTTTTGTTCTATCTGTGGAGCCATGAAGCATAAATCTCATTCTCAAGTTTTATTCATTGTTGCTAGTTTGTCTGTAGGATTACAAATTTGTGGCGGGGTGGGGCATGACCCAAGGAAGACCCCTTAAAATTTTGGAGCGGATCCAGAATTGAGTGACAGGGCATTAGCTTTGGCGGAGGAACGTGCTCTCCAACGTCCTTCAATATGATCTTGTTCTACATGGACACTTTGAGGGAGGAAGCCAATAAGCCAATAGTGCTTGTAAATATTTATCCAGATGTAAAATTGCAGGTGTAACAGATTACATTAAATCTTCTAATACTGCAGATATAAATATTGTACTACACCCTTTCCACGACAATTTAAATTAGGTATTAAGTGTATTTATCTTCCTCTATTTGAATTAGTTAAATAAACCCATGCAGACCACAGCTGCCCTTGTCAGGTATCTCTCTGTATTTATGTCCAACCACACCAGACATTCTGGCAGGAAGATCTGTCATGTAGTGCAACTGCCAGGCATCTTTTTAAACAAATCAACACAGCTCGAGGGGAAAGTCCTCTCCCGCTCTGCCTATACAAAATTCATGTTTCACCAGTTGCCTGTCTGAGTGTGTGAGAGCTGTTTAGAGTCAGTTATGGCACACAGCGGCCCCTGCCATGATGCACACACTGAATGTTACATGAGACAACTCACAACACAACAGCAGCGGACATGCATTCTTACAGTAAAAGACGTTTTTAATGTCTTCTTTAAGAAACATTGAAATTTTGAAAAGAATGTTTTTTTTTTCTTGCAGAAAGTTTAATGACCAAAACCACGCATTTGTCAGCTCTACATATGAAGCTACAGCCGGCAGCTGGTTGGCTTAGCATAAAGACTGCCATAAACTGTAAATAAAGATGGGGGACATGACGGCTCCAGAAGTGAAGCCAAAGTGTCTAAATCGCCCCCTGGTGTCTTGATGCAGAATAGGTCATAAACCCACATCACACAGACCTGGGTGGTTTTGCTCTTCTAAATATACATTCAGTAAGAATAAGAGCAACAAACTATTCCTTTAAGTCAAGTCTCTCTATTGTTGTGTCTGTCTGTGTCTTCTGCGCACATACGTACACACAAATACACACACATCCAGTGACCTCACAAATGCCACATCAGTAGAGACAATAGAGCGGGTGGGTTTCAAGACTATGGTAAACAACATCTACTAACCTGAACTTGGATTTGGAGATCCTATTTCTGGAACACAGAGAACAGAATGGATTATACACACACACATAACACACATATAGACAGGTACACAACATGAAACGGGTGATTTGAGGGGGATAAAGGGGGAATTGCTTCCCTCATTATCACGAATGCTTTAGCAAAACATGTTCCGTGATCAGCTCAGTTGTGTGCCTCCAGTATTTCCTGCACTTTTCAGATACAATCAGCTTGTTTCACGGAGCAGACATTTGTTAGTTTAGAGTCTGAAGTGAAATGCACAAATACAAATGCTGTTGGTCGTCTTTCTGCAAAACTGCAAGATGATCAAAGAACGTGTTTGCTAAAAAGCAGTTTGTCCATTTTTATGCACCCATTTGAAACAGAGTTTGGGTGCAATGCAACAAATCACCCCCTGTCAACATGTATACAGTGGCATCCAGTCAAAAGAAATACTGCTGTGAGTTTGGATTTTCTCCAATCAATCCTGGTGTGAGAAAAACAATATGCAGAATGTATTAAATGTCTGTTGATTGTTCACCACTGTAACAGCAGAAAGTACATAACATGAAGAACGGAGGACAAGAGATTATGGAAGACATGTCTTTGGGAAGAGAAGAGAAGAGAAGAGAAGAGAAGAGAAGAGAGGAGAGGAGAAGAGAAGAGAAGAGAAGAGAAAAGACAAGAAAAGAAAAGAAAAGAAGAGGGACATTTGCATCCACAGCATGTCACTTCTTTTTGACCTGTGCATACTAGATTATTTGACCATCAGCTGAAATCATGACTTAAATTATTTGATTTATTTACAGGCTAAAGCTGCCGATGATAATTGACTATAACTGAACCTAATGCATGAAATAATACTTATAATTTGTTGATTGGCGAAAACAGTGAAATGAAATGCTGCATTGGTTATTGTCTTAATGGCTCCTTTAGCTGCATTTTACTTTTATTTTATTAAAGTCTAATACAATTGTAGTATCACATGAAAACTTAATTGATTTTGTCTGTAAAAGCAGATGAGTTGACTGACGAGCTGACTGATTGGCTGAGTGACCGACTGACTGCGCCAATAAAATGAGTCATTGACTGACTGAATGAAAGAATAAAATGACTGACTGCGGCTGGATATGGAGGCTGACAGTACACATGTCTCTTCTCTCCATGTGTCCGTCTAGATTATGAGATCAGCGGGCGCTGAAGTAGCTTCTACCCTGAGGTCTGTCTCCACAGCGATTTGAAGGAAGAACTGACAAACGCTGAACGTCTCAAGTCTTATCTCCATAATAGTGTGAGCAAATGCCCCAAGCCAAACTTGTTGCAGTCTCACAGAGAAAGGAGGAGGCCTTGTTTTTCTATTTGTGGCAAGGTTTACTATTCATCAGCTTCTGCATAGACTGACTTCCTGAAAATCTCACTTATTTGAGTAAAACCCAAATTAGAAAATTCTGGACTACATTTTAGAGGCATGTGATGTAGAATTATATGTTGGGAATCGAGCACTTTCTGAACACTATGATGTTATGACATGTTCTTTGTATTGACTTGTGTTGGTCTGACAGGGGACAAACAAACAACATGACAGAAGACAAACAGAGTGAGAGTACAGATAAACAATGGTGTCGCATCCAAGCGTGCCTGCTGTCTGTAATGTTCCTCTGAGCGCTTTTGATTTAGCATGATTTCACCTTTAAATTTTTTTTTTCATCTTTTAACTTTCTCTATTCTATGCACTTCTATTCTGAAACGTTCAAAAAAGAAAGGGTCATATGTAGGTGTGTTTGCTTGTGTGCGCTGATGTGGGCCCGCTGGGGTCACGGCTCCTGCTCGGCCTTGTGTCTAAGAAAGAAAGGAATGAACTTGTTTGAATAATGTAAAAAAATAATAAAAATGAAAGGAGAGGGGAGAGCGAGTGGGTGAGTCAGCTGTTCATGAGCTCCCACAGGGGAGGAGGACAGCACTTCTCCAGTAAACACATGAAGGAGAGAGCAGGCAGAAAGAGAGGGAGAGAGGAAAGGGAAATAAAGTAGGATTACTGTTGAATAAGATGTAGATGTTCTGATCTTCTGCTTTTCTTTAGGTCCCAGATGATGGTTTTTGAGAAGCACTTTGGGTTTCTAATTGGCATCTTGTTTTCTCCTCTGTTAAAGTGATGTCTCTAGTACAATAAATTCTGATGGACCATTTCTGTCTCAGGTGCATTTCAACAATGACACCAGAAGTGAAGTCATTATTTCCAATTTCCAATCCATTTGATTTATTTATTTTTAACTAAGATGATCTGACAACTTATCTCAAAACTTACTACAGACTTAGATATGCTTGCATAGCTGAAGTAAATTAGAAAAACATATAAATGCTGCAGTCCTAAGACTTTATGACAAAAAAAGTCTGTCTTAATCTGATCTGTCTCATCAAGGTCACAGATTTTTAGGAAAAGGGTAATTTCATTGGGTGCGAAAATGACAGTGATCACCTTTGGAAAATCTGATGTGTCTTCAGATTCACCTACATTTTCTCAGTTTATTGTTTGATGGCAACCCATCGTTACCATTGTCTGCTCTCCTCTAACCAGTGATAGTGCAGTAAATTCTCAGTGAGCATGATGAGACAGAGGCCTGAGTTAGTGACATCAGTGAAGGATGGAGGCAGACTGAGCCACTTGTTCTGTGGCTAACACTGAAGTGCTAAGAAAGATGCATGATAGCGTTCCTCCTTGGAAACTGACAGAAGGTGACTGCGAGAGCTGAGGAATAGAGGGAGGAGAAAAAGTGCATTGAGAGAGAGTGAGCGAGGTACTTACGCTAGCCGGGTACAGCAGGTCTCACCCTCCACGTCTCCCCCAGGGGCATTGTCTGTGTTGACTGATTCATTCTCGCTGGCTGGCATGCTCACTGAGAGACGGAAAGCGGCAGAGGCAGAGATGACAGATGTACAGGGAAAGAAAGAAAAAGACAGAAGGAGAAATATCAAATAACCGAACAGAGGAGGGTTGTACGTCCTTGCTTACGTCACACTTGTGCTGGTTTTTGCAATATTGCTTGCTCTAAACCTTGAAGTCAAGACGCTGCGGACGGCTACACAAACTTGAACGCTACAAATTGTATCCATAGGTAAATACTGAGGTGTTGCGCTTCCCTCAGTATACAAACTAATTAAAAGATGCTGTTGACATGTAGGAATTCACAAATCAGTGTTGTCCAACACACTGTTACACACATACCCACGAGTCAATAAAACTATTTCCAAATTTTTGCACTGCTTGCCTAAACTAATTACCCACTAAGCTGCCACACTAGCAATATTTACCGGTTAGGGATCCTGGGACCCAACCTCTGCAACAGCTATTAAGATGGATTTCAACATCTAAGCTGATGGATAGCTTAATACTGGCTGAATTAAATCTTAACAAAACCCTTTTGTGATTTCATAGCTCAAGGAGATTTAAAGAAAAAAACATGATGTAGATTTCAGTCTTTGGTCTATAAAACAATGTGGGGGATGCTGGAGCTTAACTGCAGCCACAGTACTGGGGAAAAAAAACTTGTAATGCTTTAAATGTTGTATTCTAGCCTTTATTAATTAAGCTGTAAGAGTTGTGGTAAGATTTATGTCAACACAAACGTTAAAATTAACTCCTTCATCCCAAACATCCTTTTGCAGATGTGTGAACAGGAAGGAACCTTGAGCCAAATCTTTCTTTTTTTTTTTTAAAAAGGAGGCAGGAAATGTGTCCCTTTGTCCTGTAAAGACAAGTGAAATGGCATGCAAAGATGGAAGGATGAATACCAGGAAGAGGGAGGGACAGGAGCAATATTAATTGTCAGCTAAGGATAAAAAAAAAGACTAAAATAAATAGGAAGAGGGGGCAGGAGCGAGATATGGATACATTGAGGGAGTTGTGGATGGAGGGAGGAGGAGAAAGAGATTGTGGATGTGGGGATGCTTGGTTGAGGGACTGATATGAAGAGATACATTGCTTTTTATGGCTTCTGTCAGTATTTGGCTGCCTGTGGGAATGAGCCACTCTCCCCTCACTGTCACCTTAAACACTTGTTGTAACACCCGCTGGGTATGAGGCTCAATATCTCTGGCGTTAAATAAGATATCCACTCAAACAAACAAAGAAAAAAAGATTCTTCCAAACAAGCTCTTACTATGAAACCAAGAGACAATATCAGCACTCAAGATTAATGTAAGAGCTGCAGCAATGTGGCTAAAAACATTTGCCAAAAATAAAACCCAGAGCTTGTTATGCAATTGTACTCTTTTTTTATCAGACTCAGTAACGAAGTTCTGTGTGAAATTGCCTCCCAAACACAATTTTTAAAACTGGCATTGGCCCTAATGCATTCCACTGAGATTTTCCTACTGAGTCTTTCATGCAGATTCAATAATCAGAAATCTAGAAACTTACCTAAAGTTTCATATTGAAAAAAGACTAATCATATTAAATATGTACAAATTAAATGTCCTTAAAAAAGATGAGTAAGTTATGCTGAAGCAAACAAAGCAAAGAAAAGCAAGGCAGCAAAGCCAAAAACATCACATCATTTTGAAAAGTAAGAAGCTAAAGTGAGGCGAAGTGAGCTTTGTGTATTTGGCCAGTGCACTTAAACACTTGGCTGGTGATGGATAAACTCAGTGTTGCAGAGATCACAACAGTCTCTCTCAACATTAAAGCCTCCGCTGTGAATGACTTGGGTTCCCTCACGTCGACAAGTGCCACCTGCTGCGATGCCACTCAGTTAAAAGCACTTGCAGCCCTCTGGTCCCTCCTGAGGCTAGAGCATGTCAAATATAAAACCCAGCCCAGTGACTTCTCCTCAATGGAGCTCTGAACTAGTTTAATACCTATTGTTAGAGTAAACCCCAAAGACGGGATACACAGGAGATGAAGGAAAAGCAAGGAAAGGGGGAGGGAGGGAGGGAGGGAGGTAGAGGAAGGCAGAGAGGGAAGGAGAAAGATGGGTAAAGGTCATACTTTTAAGACAGAAAGAGGAATTTGTTCTTTCTCGTTAAACAACAACACTGGCTCTAAAAATAAACAACCTCCATAATAAGGTACAGAACTAAAATGAGCCTTTGCAAAAGGAATGCGTGAGTATGCATCTCCTGGTAAGTCACATATTATTTGACCATTTTTAGATATTTCAAAAACTAAAAAGGTCTCTCTATTCATAATAGGTCTCTCTATTCATAGAATCACCGGATACCGGAAAATCACCAAAAGGCTAAAGCTCCAGATTTTAAGCTCTTCTTCCGCTAACATTTATCATCGTAGCTAGAAACAGTGCAAGAGGATTTCGGGGAAAGGAAGCTGAAACAACAAGAAGAGGACTGTGACATCACAAAGAATACAAATGATTTTTGTTGACGGTAAATAAGCTCCACTACTTTCTGTAACGTCATTGTTCTCTTGTTGTTTTTTCAGACGAGTCAGGCAGATGCAAAAGTTTCCTTTCTTAAGAACCTATGAAGGTGAAGAGCGGCTTCATTTCAAAACAGCACCATTGTTTCCTCTACTTGTCAACTTATTCCATGTACTGGGAGTTCTTGCCTTTTCAGTAAACATGGTGGTTTGAAGGCAATAAAGAAATGCAATTCTAACATTACTCATCACAGGTACGTTTACAGAAGGGGTGAGGATGACAATGAGAAGACAATTTTTACAGTATTGAGAGGAAGCCGCTGTCCACTGAGGAGAGGAGAGGAGGAAAAAGGTTGCAGTCTGCTTGCATGTCTAGAATCAGGTTTCCAGTAAAGCATTAACGAGTGTTGGACCATGCAGACAGACGCACACGCCTTACGAAGGAAAGCTGCATTTCTCTTCATAGCTCCACGCAGAGAGTGAAAACGATGGTTCTGACCTGGGGATATAGAGCATGGCTCAGCAAGACAAAAACACAGACACACACACACAGATACACACGAATAGACAAACACAAAGAGAGAGAGAGAGATATACACAAACAGACAAACACAGTCAGCACAAATGTGGAAACTGTAAATTCAAACACAAATAATCACATGTAGTCATCTGGTCTCTGGTGCCAGACACAACCTGTTGCAAAGGAACATGTTTGCCTCAGCAAAAACACCATTCCCGCTTTACAGACACAGTTCATTTCATTTCTCCAGCTCTGACTGTCGTTTGAGATGCATTACAACCATCATTGGCACTGACTTACTTTTTCATTCTTGTAGCATTTAGTCTTTTAATCTCTATTTCATTCCCAAGCTTTGCCATCAATTCTAAGCTAGAACGTTCGCACTCTCCAAGGCAAAAAGAAAGAAACGGGACATGAAGCGAACACATATCAAAAGTGCTTACTGGTCCCACACACACACACACACACACACACA